AAAACTTTTGAGCGTTCCGTTATGTTTAATAGCGCTATGTGGTCGCGTTTACCGAGACGCAGTTGAGCTGCAATAAGGTCGTCACATCAATTCCACGCTCAGTGCGGCTAGCAGCTTTATTACATGCCTCAAGAAAATATGGGACTTCTTTCTGAGTTTACTTAGACTATCAGGATCTCAAATTTGCTCCCATGTTCTGCGCAGCTAATTTTATGAGCGAAATCGAATGATTCGTCCACTTAATTGCCGAAATGTGGAACAATGGATGTAGATATGGTGGGATTGTGTAGAAAACTTTCACTCGAATTTAGTTTCACAGTGGCCTTCTATTTAGACACTGCAGAGCGTGACCGAGCGATGTGCTTACATTTCGTTCTCTTCAAGACTTCTTTCCTTGCTATGATTCTTTTTTCTGCACCAGCACTCAGTATTTAAATCATTTTCGTATTCGTGTTCCTGTTTTTTGGCTAAATGTTTTCTTGATCATGTAGTATAGTATATGGTATGGCTAAGTCCTTCTTTGTAGTGAGTCTATGAGTTTGAGCATCCAGTAAGATGTCAACAAGATGCTCACAATTCTGAGTGATAGCCGTTTAGTGACAATACAATACGGTACAATGAGCACTCAATTTCCTATCCATGCACACGACCAATCAACTGTGGAATCAAGTGATATGTGGGATGGATATTTATCGCTCGTTTCACGTGTGGGGCAATCTAAGTTTCGTCAGGTGCTGCTGGTATTCCCCACTGAACGTGGTTTCCGGCTTTCCCGATGCTGCCTTGTGATCTCCGCTCAGAGAGGCGCCTTTGTTTTCTAAGAATGCACTCCTGATACCGCAGAACGACTAAATGGAAAAATTGTATTTAGCAGGCAACACTTTGACATACTACCATAACACTTGTGTGTTTATGATGTTCCGCTATTAAATCTATTGAACACACCTTCCACAGGGCGGGATCCAGGTCCTATCAATATGCCCCTTCATTGATCGCGGCAGAATACGCGGAGACCACGTTCTGGAAACGATATGTACTTCGGTGACTCCTCACGCATTGTGATAAAAATGTCGTGCGAAGGCAATGCTCACGTTGTCGTAGAGACTTGCAAAGATATGCACAGAAATTACCAAAGAAATTACGATGTGACCAAAGTGCCCTGTTTCAGGAATACAGAAGGGTAAGTCTACTCTATGACTTACAGTCATGATTGGCTTTTGCAGTATTTCACCTGTCACCTTCCTGTATATCAACAGCGGTGAAGTTTTTGGCGCCCTTAAAGTGTTTTCGGAGATCGGGATTGTGTCCGAACATGCTATGTCATTCACATTTAACCATTTATGATCCTTCAGAGTGAAGATGATACATTGCTCGTTACTAGTACAGTTTGTGCCATGCTGTGTCTCCGCTGGTGTCTCCCCAGTGATTCGACTTTCGAAAAATTCAAGCAAGCTTTCTTCACGCAAGCCATTTTTGCAGAGAGGACAGTCAGGGGTTTCAAAATGAGCGAACTCGCATGAAAGCAGGAAAGGGACCTAAATGTATAATACAATGCATTGACATTATGGCCTGGCCGTATAATCACAATAGCAGGTTTGTGGTACTAGAATAGCCGCTCCTGGAAACGGGACATAGCAACGACTGTTACCCGCTCCACATCGTTCCGTTGGCCATGGAAGGCCACAAAAAGTGCTATCCGAAACAGCCGAATTACCCATTTTGATAGGTCATGGTCAATGGTTTGTAGGGCAATATGGAGGCGGCAAGCATTATGAGTGTTTAAAAATATCTTTTGTAGCGTAAGGTGAGCAGAGTTCAATACTCACTATGATAACTTAGAGGAACTGTGAGAGCTGCAAAGCAATCCTGATGGCACTTGTATATTCATAATTCAAATGTGGTGCGCTGTGATCTAATGAATCGAGCTTAGCACTTCCTCATAAATGGGCCTTTTATGCATCTAACCTTCATGAAGCACATGTATTCAATTTTTTGAATGACCCTCCTCACACCTTTATTTCGCCCATATCGTTCAGAGAGTACGTTTCAAAAGTGGAAAGGTTTCCCTGAAAACAGCTGGTTCAAGTTATGTGGAGGATTCATAGATTCTTCACTCGCTATACTATCCATTAAACAGGCGCAGTATTTTAAGTACATTTCCAAGACCACTGACCTGGAAACATAAGGAAATAACGTGACCCTATTCATCGCCTCGGCTCTAGTTCAACACCGCTCAGAATGTCTTAAAGGGTTGTACCGAGCCGTCAGAGTCATGTAATCAATCGGGTGTGATGATTTGGGTAGGCAGATACTGGGTTAAACGACATTTTCATAGCGCTCAAGATACAGCGTAATTGAAGTCGTTTCTTGTGACATAGTGGATTTTAAAAGTGTGGAGGCACCCCTAAGGACAGCAGTTCACAGTTCGGATAGAAGTTTCATGGATTGTTACTTATCTATTAATTTTGCTGTGTGGCACTAATCTACTTCACTTCGGAAAACATGAGCTCTAAACATTCATAAGAAAAACGAAACATCTGATAACGAGAGCAGATTGTTACTCATTGGAGCTCATTTCACACGATTCATAAGCGAAAGTGGGGATAGGACAGCTGCACAAAGCATTCTGGACCTGAAACTCAGCCGACGAAGTTTTCCTAGTTGCTTAGAACTCATCCGTATCGAGAAAAATAACCCAACTCAACAAAGTATTAGCTAGTCACCATAATGAGATCGTTTCCCCGTTTTGTGAAGCCTCATCTTCTGAATCCGGCCCCTTTTCATATTCCTTCAAACTAATTGCAGGCGAGCTGTTTTGCGGTGCCCGCTCACGGTAGTGAGGGCTCCATCATAAACTGTTGAACAATACCTCTGGTTTGAGTGACAGTTCTTCAAATAGCAATTCTTGAAGCAAAAAAAAACTCATGTCGGAATCTTGCTGAATGACTGCAAAGTGATTGCTGAACATGACGTACCTCATTTTCCAATGCCATTTTTGGCCTTTCAAAGATCCTCCTATGTATTTCAAGCTGGATTGTTAATAAAACTGTCAATGCAGTCAAGAGATTGGCCACGTTCAGCATCCTGAAGCATTTGATCTTTGCATGGAAATTCTTCCTCAGTGAATGCTTGAATCGTTCAAATTACAGTGTGCTTTGTGCTTAGGAATGGCCATAGAATCGCAAACGAACGTAAAGAGAAAAAATTTCACTCTTGAGCATTTTTCGCTAAAGGGAGCGCCCTTGCTTTACTCACGCTTGAAATGCAAATTCCTGAGAGATGTTCCCAGCCCTACCATTTTCTAAAATAAAATAAGCTTTATTACTGCGCGTGCGGAATTCGATATAGTGAGTTTGAGCCGTTATTCGATCTAATACGGAACAGCTGTTTCAGGAGTCGTATATGTACCATGAAACCCTTCTATCCGGACTACATGTGCAAAATAAATTTTGCGGCTGGTCTTTAAAAATGTCCAACCCATTTGCTTCATGAAGGTTAGATGCATTCAAATGCTTCACAGCAGTCACGACGTATTACGATCTATTTGGATCACAATGCACTACATTTGAACTATGAAAGTTCAAGTTCCATCAGGATTACTTTGCAGCTCCTGCACTTTCACCATCATCAATATAATGAGTATAGAGGCTAACATGTGCCTTCGAAAATACTATTACAGAGGCTGGTGCACCGCCTTCTTCGTGGTATATAAATGCACCGCCGAACACCATGCAGCACACACTCTACCGGCTTCAGCCTGCACTGAGGTTTGTCCCATTTGGGACGTCGATCCTCGTGCACTTATAGATAAGAGGTTCTCTGTAATCGCTCTAAACTCTGCTCACCTCATGCTCACAGCAGGACACTCCAAACACTCATAATGCCTACCATACGATTAAAGTTCGCTCTCCAAACGTTTCTGAATCAGCTCCATTATCCATTTGCCCCATTTCCTACTTCTTCGCGGGTTGAATCGCTGGTACTACACTCTACTCTCGAAATCCCTAAGTGTAGACCCTTCAGAAATGGCTGACGTGAAGAAAGCTTGCTTGGAGTCTCTGAAAGTCGTACCACTTGGAAAGACACCAGCAGAGATACAGCATGGCACGGACTTCTACAAGTAGTGAGTATTGTGAGGTATTCAGTGTTTATAATTAGGACTATAATGCCAATACTATAGCTTGTTCGGACATCACCCCGATCTTCGCAAGTACTTCAAAGGTGCTGAAAACTTCACTCCTGACGACGTTCAGAAGAGCGAAAGGTAACATACTGTGAAAGTTCTCGAAGATGACATAATCTAGGGTTAGAGTTATTCTAGATTCGCGAAGCAGGGCACTGCTTTGGTGATGTCTGTGCATATCTTTGCAAACCTTTACGACAATGTGCGTTTTTCATTTTCAAGTCTCATTATCTAAGGAGTGAGGGAAACACCCCATAATTTAGGACATGGTCTTCCGTGGATTCTGCCGTGATCTTATGAACAGACATGTTGAGAGGAAATTGGATCCCGCCCTGTGGAAGGTGTGTTCAATAAGACCTAGCGCAATATTGGAACATGCACGAGTATTATGGTAGTGTGCTAAAGTGTTGTCTGCTAAACACAATTTTTCCATTCAGTCGTTCTGGGGTATCTGGACTGCATTCCTGGAAAGCAAAGGCGCTTCTCTGAGCGGAGATCAGAAGGCCGCATGGGAAAAGCTGGGAACTACATTCAATGAGGAATGCCAGCAGCACCTCGCCAAGCTTGGACTGCCACACACGTAAAACGGACGATATATATCTATTCCTTACCTAATGCTTTCTTCTAAAATTGGCGGTTCGTATGCATGGATATGAAATGGATACGTGCACATTGTACTATATTGTATTGTCAGTAAAAGATTATCATTCTGAGTTTTAAACACTTTGCCGACTCCTTATTATGCTCAGCTCATACTATAAGAGGAATATCCTGTTTTTTACGTACCGCGCTGCAGCCGATCAAAAAATGAATTGATGGAAAATGCTTGTGCAAATATGAGACCAAAACAGGTGCCAAGCTCTTTGGCTGAAAAAAGGCGTCATAGTAAGAAAGAAGGCGTAGAATACGATGTTATATGCACACACTACTCGGTTACGGTCTGCGAGGTCTTGATTAAAGCCCACTTCTCATACAAGAATACTAGCAAGAATTTTAGCCTTACAATTCAGCCTGAAGGTATGATCTCCTTCTATGTATTAAACGAAGACTTGATGATCAAGGATTTGCTCCTAAATTCCTGGGAGCCCTCGGATGTCCTCACACGTCAAAAGTTGTGAAATAGATGGACTTCCTGAACGATTTCACCTCGGAGTCAGTTAAGAATTGTGTATGGCTCGCTCGTGGTGCTTAGGTGAGGAAATCCGCAGCTAAGGCAAAGCGACCTCACTAAGGGTCGAAGCCAAGGGGGTCACCACGCCACTGGAAAAATCTGTAGGATCTGAAACAAAAGTTAAATGGAAGAGCACCACGAATAGCAGAGTGCACTTCAGGTGAGAAGTTACTCTCAATTGAAATGCCTGCCCTTTTGAAATGCCTGCCCTTAGCTGCTCCCTGTACTACTTCGCAGACTTCTGGCTAAACTTCTGGCTTCTGGCTACATTCAGGAGAGATGACGATGAGCTATTCGAAGTGGCATGGAAATTACCTAAAGCAGCAGTTAAATTCAGCAAATTCTGTTGGAACATCTTGTCTTATAGTGCCCCTCTCGGACGTTTTGAGGTTCTGAACCCTTTGTCAATTCATTTAGCCCATCACACAATTTCCGCCTCAGCGCCACATTTCTTTCATTAAATTTTACCCCTCAGACTCACTTTGCAGCATCGGCGTCTTATTTTACGTCTACCAAACCTCTCACGCTTTCTTCTAAGAATGTACTTTCCTCCTACCTTGATCAAGATCATCCCTGCGTTTTCCCTCTGCACCTGCACCATCCTACCATGGTAGTCATGCCTCTCTGAATACAACCCACCCGCCCGCATCAGAGCAAACCTACTACTATGCCGCACTTAACCAATTTCCCCCAATACCATCACACTCCTTTTACGTGTGATCTGCACCGCATGCCCTCCTGGCTTCTAAGTATTTCGTTACTCGACTAATATAAACGTTTGAGGGTGTGATGACCCTTAAAGTCGTCATCCTCGACGAGGTCACTTCACATTTATCCGTGGAGTTTCGCACCTAATTAACTCGCACTTATGCTGCAAAATTTTGGCTTTACCCAGCTATATTACCCGATGAGCTCTCGATTATCAAATTTTTTAGCGGCCACCAAACGCTTCCATGCCCTTTACGGCGTGCGAGACTACTCCGCCGAATATCCCCGCTCGAGAGGCACGAGGCATCCTATTCAACACTTTTAGAGTTTTCGCTATGAAGGCTAACCACTAATGCCGCATCGCCTTGGATGTTCTCTCGACGTCTCAGGAAATCTTGAGATTCTTTAACTGTCAAACAATTGCACCACTTTTCGGCTCATCTGCAAATATGAATAGGACGCACCACACATATTCGCTTGTGAGGCTCGTAAATCCGATTTCTGTAATTGCGCATAACATGTAGCGCCAAGCACTGATTTGTAGAGAAATATGGACATGTGATAAACATGACATGCGATGAATGTAGAGCTATCCACGCCTGGGTCGAG